GTCACTGCTGAAATGTTGTGACAAAAATTGCAGGAGATAAGAAATTACAAAATATTGCTACCTTGGGAGATATTTGATGCAAAAAGACATGCTATTTTTATATAAGTGGCTGAGAAGAGACGTTCAGCAGTTGGGGATATTGATAAGAAACAGATCATTAACTGCATAATTTATATCTGCTGCTGGATGAGACTCTTGTGTTTATTTTAGGCTAAAGAAGAGGCTGCAGTCTGTGAGAGTGTACAATAGCAAGATGTGGACACAAGCACAACTTCACAGGCATTAAAATATCTATTTGTTCCTCCTTTTTTATGCAATGTTTATCTTCTCTGCTGTAGATAGATGCACATGGATCAGTGTCAGGGCCGTAGACAGGATTTTAGAAATATTCAGGTCATGAGTCACCCTGTACGTCTTTTATTTATTCGGATAACCGTTCATTTATAATTTTTGTCGATTCACCTCCCTCCCCAACCAGAACATTGTGTTTCCAAGCAATCTCCACACTGGCAAAAATTAAATTAGGAGGAGAAATGCTGAAGCCTTGATTGATTTATTATGTATTTTATTATTGTTGGCCTAGAGGGAGTCAGATTTAACCGTTTTGAGTGTAACAATCATCTTCTCAGCCTAATTTTTAATTGTTGGAACTATCCCTTCTATTTCATTTACAAAAAGGGTGTGTGCCTTAATGAATTAACTGCATATCCTCATCTCTGTGTGTGTTTTCGTGGTGGACGTGCGGGGCCACTGGGTCGAGGTGGGCTGGGTCCGTGGTTCCCACAGCCTGTGTGGAGGCAGCCTCTGCCGTGCTATCAGCCTCCGTCTCCGGCCCCCCAGCACCAGCGGGCCCCCCTGACGTCAGCCCTGGCCAGATAACAGGGTCCACAGCAAGCAGTAGATGGGAGGAAGGAGGGGGGGGATGGAGGGATGAGGTTGAGGGAGAACGGCCAGCAAGGAGGGAGGGAGGGAGGGAAGGGAATGGGGTTACACTAACAGAGCCGGTGGTGGATAAGACCCTCAGACAGATAAGACAGTCAGAGTGTGGAGCCTCTTTTGTTTTCCACTGCTCCTCCTGTCTGGTGGCATCTCCCTTCTCCTCCTCTCCGACATTCCCTCTTTTTCTATCCACTTTCAACTTCAATTTTTTTTAAACGTAACCAATTTGTTAAACTTTTATCCTCCACCAACCCTCCTCTCTTTGTCCAAACAGAAATATTCCTGCTGTTATCGGGCCATGTGAGCTATGGCCGTCCCTGGATTGAGGAACCTTTTCTCCTCTGGCTTCCTCATTGTGTTTTTGTTTTCTCTCACAGTGTTTTGACAGACCAAGGAGACTGCTTCTGATTGACAGCGGAAGAACGTTTTTGACACTGATGAAAAGTTTGCACACTTCTCCTATTGCTCCTCCATCACACTCCGCATCTTCTTACACCGCTGTAGCCACCTCTTTAAGCTTCTCTGCATGAACTCTGCATGAACCCTTCAATGCATCAGAATCCATTGTTTTGATGATGTCACCTCACCTTTACCTAACCTGAGTCTTACCCCTAACTTGCCCCTCCACGTACAAACAAACAGCTTTCCCTCTGCCTGCCACATCACTGCAGCTAAGCCCCATGTATCAGCATATTAAACACTGTCTTTGCATTTGTGTGTGTGTGTGTGTGTGTTCCCTGTTTGCTCTTCAGGCCTTCACTAGCCTGCGGACTTTGGCCACTGCTTATCACAGGGAGAGGTCCTGGGATCCCTGAGTCTTCACTGCTAAAAATACACTCTCTATAGCTCACATACACACACACACACATGCTCACACACTCTAGGTATCATGGGGCACCCCGCTCTGAGGCTGTCAGTCAGATATCAGGCCAATAGGATTGGTCAGTGGTGGGTTTTGCGCGCGTTCACCTGATTACAACGAGTCACTCACAGAACCTCCTTCGGATTTTGCTCAATTTTATAGCTGGCATTAGGAGCAAGCAACACCCAGGAGTGGAATTTCAAATATTAACATACAAGCGTCAAAGAAATATTCAAACGTTTGTGTGAGTTGGTTAAGTAGCTTTACAAACAGTGGAGACCATCCGAACAAAAGAGGTTTTGATAATTGAATTCTTATCATCTGTAATTGAGTGTTGTGTGATGTGTTTGCGCTGCTCTTCAAACAGTGTGAACCAAGAGTCAAATTCAGCACTTGAGCTCAACACATATGAGAACCTGCAACTGAGGAGTTAATAATTTATTCAAAAACAAAAAAAAAACACACTCCTGGTTAACGGTGTGTGTGTGTGTGTTAGTCAGAAAGACAGAGAGATGATCAGTGCTGCTGATGCCCAGGTGTCTCCCCAGTGTGACTCCCTGACCTTACCTGGTCAAACACACTTAATCCGCAAGCATAACATACAGATACCTTAGAATAACACACAAATCCCCACACTAACATACACACACACACACACACTGACATGATCCCACAATTTCGCTTTACTTATTTGAAGTAAAATAAACAATGAGTGGATTATGTGGATACAACAAGAATCTTTTTTGTACGATAAACTGAAACCCTGATAAAAATCTACAGCCCCCCCCCCCCCCCCCAAAAAAAACTCAACTAAACTAGAACTTGTGCACCGTAGGATGACCACACACATACATTAATTTATTAAGAAAATTCTGATATTTTAACACAAGAATGTGAGCAGTATGTGGTAATCAGAGAGAGACCTATTTTGCGGAGAGATGAGAGTAGAGCTTTAACGTCCCTGTGGGGCAATTTGGTTTACAGACAGCAATCAAAAGAACGACACTGTCAAAATAAAAACAGCAATAGAAAAAAAGAAAGTTAACACCAATGCCTCTTCTTGCCAAGACCATTTAGAGAAACAGAGTGAAGCCGGAGAACAGGGGATAGCCAAAATAGTTAATGGAATAATTTATATTTCTTTTAGTGTAAAAAAACTGAAATCACATGTTATGTGCACATGCTGTTGTCGAAATATGAAAGTCTCACTCAATAAAGCAAAATCAATCAAAGTATCAAATAAAAGTCAGTTGAGGTTCATCAAATAATTTTCAATCAAGGAAATTGAATGAATAGACAACACAAAAAGGACAGAAATTTGAGAGTCCGTCAGATGTAATCAGAGGTCTTTATGAGCCCATTTGACAGACAGTGAGTTAACATTGATTAGCACTGTTTAATCATTATCACTATCACATGAGTGGATCCATGATGATCAATCTGATCAGATAAAACAAGACAAACTGGTGAAGTCAGCAGGAACAGATGCAGACAAGATGAAAGGTCTTTTTGTAAATATATACTTTCTGCTTACTATGCAAAACAACATGCCAATGAAGAATACCAATGAGTACCACGGTGTGTGTGTGTGTGTGT